ACTGCCAAACAAGCTAACAGTAAAAAGCCCAACCAAAGAACCACCAAGATCTCACTCTACTAGCCCTGATGATGTTACCAAGCTATTGTATACACAAAGATGAATGGGAAAAAGAATGAAACGCCCGCAGTAAAAGACTGGATTATAAAATTGTGGAACTTGTGAAGAGTGAAGCTGACTAGTCTGGTCGGGGTGGGTGGGGTGGGGGGGAGAACTAAAAAAACAACAACCCTGAAAGCCTTATATGGATTCGGCAAAAGAGAGCTGATGATTTATGTAACTAGGGATTAAAAAGGGTTAAAGAAAGAGGGAACTACAATAACAATTGCCCAATAGAAAGATGGCCAAAGTCAAAATATGTTTTGGGGTTTTTAAAACTTATTTTTATATCCTATCTTATTATTTATTTATACCTTTATGAATTATAAGATTCTAATTATTTTTTAATAAACCAATACTTTGTCTTGCATGTAAGCAAAAAAATACAACACTTAACTACATTTCTGTTTGATAAGAGTGTTGCAAAGATCCCAACCCAGATCATGCAATGGTTATGATTACAAATACTTGTCAAAGTGAGAGGACAGGATGTGAAAGGGAGGCATTCTCAGTGTATCTTGTCTCAGTGCCTTGACCTGCAGCTTATGTCTTGTCTCTCTGCATCCCGATGGGGCATTCTTTGCATAACTGATCAAGTGGCATGATGTAGCCTTCTTTTCTTGGTAAAGAAAATGGCAGAAGAAATGGTGGGTAAGATAAGTCGGAGGTAACAACAATGGAACATAATTATCTGGATCTCCTATAAAACAATGCATAAGAAGCTGTTGTGAGATTGCTACTATCACTTTTTCAACACTAGTTGAACACACAGTTATTTTTCAATACCATTTCCTCACCCAGGTGTTTCTTGCAGCCAGCGGGAAAGCAGAAAAAAAAGCCTTGATCACATAAAATTATTTTGTATCTGTGGCAAAAAAAATCCAGCAAACACTCTTAATGGTAATAAACAATAATTGCTATTATTTTCATATTCAGTCTTAAATACTATTTTATGACATGCAAAATAAGATTCCCAGAACAAGAATCTCACTTTGCTTGTGAAGTGAGACTTTTTTACTAACCCAGTTTTGTTTTGCATCAGCTGCCAATAATGAGACATCACTGTTCTTCTCTATATGGTACCCTCTTCACATGCATTCTGAAAATAAGCTAGATTTCCTTGTTAATATTTTGCTGATAACTGGATTTTCAATTAGGACTATGTAGTTTAAGCCTTGCTGGATCAATATTTCAGTGAGATGTTATGTCAAAACACTTGGTTTTTCCCTTCTGTAGAAAGCACGGGAAATACCGCCAACACAATAATAGTTGTTTCGAGTAGGACAAACACACACACACACACACACACACACATATATAAAAATTCAATTCTCTGAACTTCTTGCATTTTGCAATCTGGAATATACAATACAATTGGTAAAAACACAAACTATTTTCATTTGCCCACCAACTCCTCCCTTTCTTTCAACATCCCTAGTCAGTAGAAAAAAATGCCAATTCCTCAAGTACCTTAAGCAAAGAAACACAAATTTATAGCTCATGTTGTGGTATGGTCTATTAAATGAGCCACAATGGGTCAGAGTCATGTAGCACTCTAAATCATAATCCATGGTTGAATGTTCATACTACACTTCTACTACCAATGACTGCAAGATGGTTGCGAAGAGTTATTGTTGTTTCCATCTACTGTTGGAGCTCATCCCAGATCCCATAGCTTATTTTGTTTCCTCAATAGGCTTTGTGCATTCTTGTATCTTCTCAATTTTAATGCAATTAGCTATTTTGAATCCATACCAACTATAACATAAAAAGATGAGAACTAATGCAATAGCTATCTTCAAAGGCTCTTGCTTTATTTCATATTTATTGTATCTAGTTCTCTAGATATGATTTAGAATGTGTCTAATTGTGTAATTATATGCAACCTCACCTCTCATGATTTATGATCAGCACTTTTGGAAGAGTCTTTTGTAGTAGAGTTCTTGGAAACAAAAATATACTAAGCTTTTAATTTTAAGACAAGAAAAAAGTAACATGGAGAGTTTCCATCTTTGTCCTGGACCTGTGGCAGGATGGTAAAAGGAAAGTTTGCCATTTTCAACATATAGGCAAAACCTTCCTTGGCCTAGTCTACTTTAGCAAATACAGTTATTTCCTCCTTTTATCTCTATAGGAATTTTTTTCAATAGCAACTCCCTCACAGTAAAACAGACCAAATTTTTGTCAATGTGTTGTGCTTTCTTATTCCCTTAGCATACATAGCCAAGAAAAGTAAAAACTCTTTATAAAAGATGAAAAAAAACCAGGTAGCTGAAATTCATCAGACATTACTGAGCTACAACTATTTCTCCTTCATACTAATTATAGCAATGATAAATAGATAATTGTCTAACAGAAGACATGCTTCTGAGGGACTTTCCTCTGAAATTAAAATTGGCCCTCTGGTGGTTATTTCTACCATAGAGCTCTCACATGTCTCCTTGAAATCATCTGCCAGCCATCTGCCAAAGTTTTGCTGTTATTGATAAAGGCAAGAGAGCCAGTGAAGCATAGAGGTTAAAACGTGGAACTAGAACCGAGAGGAGGTGCAATTACAACATCAGCCATGGAATATTACAGGGTGACTTTGGGCCAGTCATTTTCTCCCAGTACAAACTACCACTCAGCGTCATGGGGAGCAGGAACTGAAATCCTATGATCAAGCAGGGCATAAATCTAATGCAAATACATCTGTTTTGTTTTAGAATTTGAACAGACAACATTATAAAACTGTAACCAGGTAAAATTTTTTGATCTATTCAGGCATGGTCTGAGAAATGCCTCCTAACCAAGCGTACCATTGCAGGCAGAGGTTACATTTCATTAGTGTTGTGAGAAATATCAGAACGAAACATGGAAATTTGCAGCATTTGCAAATAGGGCAAAAGCCAATGTTATTATATAATTCCGGATTAGAGAGAAATATAACACGAGCATCTTTGACTTTGTAGTCTCTCCTTAAAGTATACTGATTAAGTACTGGTTAAGTAATATTAAAGTATATACTGTTTTTAATACATTTCTTGAATTTTGGTAAACTTGAAATCAATAGGATAATGTACACAAAAGAGACGAAACAATGATCGAAGGACTATCTGATGGTACTTCGGGGATTTTAAGAGCAAGCTTTAGCTGATGAATGCCGATGTCATAACAAATGCTTTCGCCTTTAAAATGCCACAAGTCTCTTCACTGCTTTCGTTGCCCCCGACGAACACTACTTTCTCCAGATCCGCTTCGCTTGTCGTCCGTGTGACTTCTTCCCCAAACTCCCATAATTGAAATCCTAATAACGGGATCTCATACCAAAGGCTTCCACTGAATTTCCGTGACAACCCTTCATACAACATCCGCGTTAAAACATTAGCAATAAAATCCCTCCTTGAAAACGAATCAAACTGCATTGCCCCGTTTGCAGGAAGAGGTCTTTCCCCATCATGTGATCGCATCTGGCCAATAATTATCCAGGACCGAAACGGCCTAACTGCTTTCTCCTTCACCATGGAAACAGTCACATTCTTCCGTTCCCCGCCTTCCTCGGCCTTCAGCCATGGCAAGGTGAGCGGCAGCTTTATCTTCGAATCACAGATGAGGGAGGGTCTTCAAGGTGCGTCACGCCTCACGCTAGAAATTCGCAAAAGGTAGCCTTGGCTGAAGGGGAGGTGGGAAAATGGGATGCGCAGGTTAGACGAGGAAGAAGCGACTTAGCCAATGAGAGGTCGTTTAGAAAGATGGAGGCGTGGTCTGAGGAACAGATTGGCATAGAGCCAGCCAATGCTGTGCAGCCGCGGCTTGTGCTCCACGTCGGCATCGGGGCGACCAAGATGGAGGCGCTGATCCTGGTAGGAGCCGGAGGGGCAAGAGAGGGGAGAGGGAGAATTGCTGGGGTGCGCGCCTGTTACCATGGAGACGGGCAGGTGGGCGGGGCGGAGCAAGTCGGTTGCTGCTGGGGTGCTTCTGGGCCTGGGCTTGAGCTCCTCTGGAGGGAGTCCGGGCCGGGCCACCCGAGGAGATGCAGGGAGGCTGGGCCGGTCCGTATGGCGGAGAGGGAATGGCAGGCTGAGGGTGAGAGAAGGTCCAGGTGCTGCTTGACAGACCAGCCAGGATGGGACAGAGCAAGGAAAGTCCCTGTCTAATCTTAAGAGGTTCTCTGCTCACGCCGCAGAAACGTGGGGCAAATCAGCTGTATTTTTATAGAGAAAAAAAAATTCCAGTGGTCAGTATATGAATTTCATCAAGGAAAGGATAAAAAGCCAGATTAAGGCTTTTTTCGTTCCCATTTCACAGATGGGTAAAGTAGGACTTCCGCTTAAGAAAAGCGTTCCTAACTGCTTGCTGCTGACCTGGCTTTTAGGAGCAGGAGATATTTTTTCCAACAGACATATGTTTGATTACAGAACTGCCTCTTAAATGGAAAGGTTGCCAGGGTCATCCCCATCTTCAAAAAGGGAGACCCCAGCCTAGTTGAAAATTACAGCCCAATCTCCTTATGCTGCGTCACCTGTAAAGTCATGGAATCAATTATTAACCAATCCATTATCCTCCACTTAGAGACAAACAACCTACTCTCCAATAAACAATTTGGTTTCAGGAAAAAACTATCCTGTAATCTGCAACTCTTACACTGCAAAAACATATGGACTCCACAACTCTATCAGGGCAAAGCAATAGACGCAATCTACATAGACTTCTGTAAAGCCTTTGATTCAGTGGTACACGACAAACTACTCCTAAAACTAAAATCTTATGGTATCTCTGGACATAACTGGATAGAAGCATTCCTGTCGAACAGACAACAAATGGTCAAAATTGGGAGTGTCCTATCAAATTCTGTACCTGTCAATAGTGGTGTCCCCCAAGGCAGTGTTCTAGGACCAACTCTCTTCATACTCTACATAAATGACCTCTGTGATCATATTAAGAGCAACTGCGTTCTTTTTGCTGATGATGTAAAGCTATTCAACACCATCAACAATACTGCTACCCTTCAAAATGATATTGACTATGTATCAGAATGGTCAAACAAATGGCAACTTTAAATCTCAACAAATAAATGCTCTGTCTTACATATTGGCAAAAAAAATCAGAAAATAAAATACAAGCTGAATAGTCAAGATCTTGTTGATAATCCAAGCTCTGTAAAGGACCTTGGAATACTCATCTCTAATGATCTAAGTGCTTGAGCCCACTGTAACTACATAGCCAAAAAGGCATTAAGAGTTGTTAACCTAATCCTACGTAGCTTTTTCTCTGGTAATATCACACTACTAACTAGAGCATACAAAACATTTGCTAGACTCGAATACAGCTCATCAGTCTGGAACCCACATTACGTATCTGATATTAGCACAGTTGAGAAAGTCCAGAAATATTTCACAAGAAGAGTTCTCCACTCCTCGTTGTAGAATACCTTATGCCACCAGACTTGAAATTCTAGACCTAGAAAACCTTGAATTACGCCATCTTCGGTCTGATCTAAGTATGGTATATAAAATCATACATTGAAATGTCCTACCTGTCAATGAATACTTCAGCTTCAACCATAACAACACAAGAGCACACAATAGATACAAACTCAAGGTTAACCGCATCAAACTTGATTGCAGGAAATACGACTTCAGCAACAGAGTGGTCAATGTCTGGAATACTCTACCTGACTCTAGTTTCTTCCCCAAACCCCAAAAACTTTAACCTTAGTCTATTGACCTCACCCCTTTCCTAAGAGGTCTGTAGGGGGCGTGCATAAGCGCACCAACGTGCCTACCGTTCCTGTCCTATTGTTTCTTTTATTTTTCTTATATGTACCCATTTCATGTATTCATAACTATGTATATACTTATATCTATTATCTTGTAAGCAATTGACAAATCAAATCAAATAAATAAATAAATAAAACAATATTTCCAAGGACCTTGGAACTTCTTTGGGATGAGCCGCAAAACAGCTGTCTCTGAATATGATCTGCAATGTGCATTAGAGGCATTCAGAGTTGCTACAAGGCCACAATAGGTCTTACACAGGATGGGTCAGTGCCTTTACAGTATTTGTAAAATTAAATTAAAAGAAAACTTATATAGGTTTGTCTTGATGCTAAAAAAAAGCCTATTTTTTCTGTTCTTTCCATAAGTAAAACATTATCAAGACTCTAAACCAGCCCTCAAAAACATTTTCAGAAAATGCTGCTACATTTATTTACTTATTTGATTTATGTACACTGCAATCAAGGACACTCTGTAATTTTTAATGTATAAGGTACAAAGCATATTCACTGTATTTTATTCATCTGACCCAGTTTCCATTATGGAGCATGTGCCCCTTTCAAAAGCCAATAAATCTTTATCCCATGAAAGGTTGTGTATCTCTGCCCCAAACTTTTGAGGGCATCTGGAGAGTACAATGCCTTGATATCATAGGAAGACAATTGAAGTCTCCAAAGTAAAATATCTAACTCTCACTTTGCAGAGATCAGCTTCCTAACAATTACAGGACAAATAAAAATACAAATGAACAGTGGGAAAAATTTCCTGATAGACTTCTTTCCATAATACCTGTACACTGGAGCCTACTAGAAAATGATGTTCTAGTCTTTAACAGATAAGAAATAGCAACTCTGCTGAATCCAGTCAAATCCAGTCCTGCATCTTATTTATTGTAATGATCAACCATATTCCTTGCTACATCACAAATTTTACAAAGAGTTCTACCTCCTGTTACCATTTATTGTTAGATTAGTGGTGAGAAACCTGACAACATACTTTGTGAAGTTGAACAAATAATCCTAAATGCACTTGTTGGGAGTATGTTTCATTTGAAATCAGTATCGCTCTTGTTCTTTTCATAAGGGTTATAGTGAAATTTGTTTTTCCATGAGCATGCAGCACATATCTTGAAAAACGTGGAACATTAAATATTCACTGACAGCTGGCTAAGTTTCTCCATTTGTACCACAACCTGGGTTATTATGAAATCACATATGCATCTTATATGTTTGTATTTGAAATTTTGGAATCCTGTTTAGCACAATCTTAGTTGAAGTCTTGACAGCTTCTGGAAATACATCCTGCTGAGAGTAACTTTCAGTTGGAATCTCTGTGCTTTATAAATTATTTTGCAGGCTTGGGTCGAAATCTTGGGGTACTCAATAATGTCCCCAGCCCTGTGGTGTTGCCCTTATTCTGAACAGTGGAGAACCAGTATGTATTCCTCTCTTTGTCAGTCAGCCACATTTCAAATTACATAACATGCCATTAATACAAATACAAGATCAACAAGACACTCTGGAGTCCTTGGTATTTTGTAGGTGCTGGAATGTATTTTAATGTTTGAAGAGAAAAATATGGCATAAAATTGTAATAATAGATGGAATAACTTATAATTTGTAGCATTTGTTGACATTTTGAATCTGCTTCTAGTGTGACCAGCTACCTCATTAAATTTTATTTATGATTTTCAAATTTTGAATCTCCTGCATCCCAATCTCTTTTTCTTAATATTTACTATGCTTGTAGTAAAATTCAAATACCAAAATTTATCCCTGTGGTTTAATAGCATTAATGCTGGGAAAGTCTGTTTTTTAGAGGGCAACAGTTACAGTTTTATAAAGCAGGCTTAGTAGATGTGAGGTATGTGAGATAATAATGAAAAAAAAACTAAGTATGTATCAGATAATACCTCAAAGTAATACAAAGGACATAGAATTAAAGAATGATAGACCTAGGAATTTATCTTGAAACTCATGGTTGGCAAATCTTGGCAGTATAATTTAAGTGTAGGTAAAATGCCTTTGAATCAAGCTTCTGTTGATTTCAATGATATAATCATGTAATATTCTTGTCAATGAGATGGAAGTAGTTTTCGAGATGGAAGTAGACTTTTTAAAAAAACCTTCCTAATATAGCTTGCAATTACTTCTAGTGGTCTCCCATCTAAGAACCTGCCAACCCTGATCCTCCTTAGTATCCAAAAGTAGGCAGGTGTTTCTGCCTGTTCCTGTTGAACAGCAGGGAGTCAGAAATTCTACTTCTGATCTCTTAGCAGGATGTGGGTTGTCTTGCTCTAGCTTAGGAGAACAGTAATACATAGTAATTACACTGACAATAAGTATCAATACAAAAATTGTTTTGGAAAAAAAACAACTCCTGATAATGGGAGTTCTTTTAGTTAGGAATGATTTGAGTTGTTTGAGAAACTAAAATGTTTTTAATGAGATCACATTCTTTTCCCCTTTATTAATGCCAAACATTTAACTTTGCACTTCGGTTCAGTTGAGATTTTCTATGAGAAACTGATAGGATAAGTTGTAAAAATTAGTGTTTCTTACAAACACCTATTAACTAGCTAACAACTAACAACTGGGCTGTTGTAACATAAAATTGAATCGGATAGCTAAAATCACAATTATTTGCCAGATATTGAAGATATTTGAAAAAAATGTAAAATAATGTCACGCTTCTCGCTATTTTTATTTCTAAATGATCTTTCTTCCTGAAACATTTATGTTAGTAATCTGATGGATTTAATACTGTGATTTTTACATGACTCAATAAATACTCTGTGAATGTGCCGATTTATAAACAAAACCTCTTTGGGGTCATCCATAATATGGGATGGGGTCCTGACAGTAAAAAGGTTAAGAAATACTTCTCTGTAGCAGTGATTCTCAATATGAGCCTTATGACCCCTTATGAAGTCATGTCGTATTTCTAGGAAGCCACATAAAAATTCTGAGAGAACTATTCAAACTTAACAGCAAGGCATTTGTTATAATCCTCGCATTTCAGTATCTGCTAATTTCAGCAGCATAATCAATGAAAATTGCTATAGTTTATAGAATAGTATATGA